AACATTTACGGTCGAAGGTGGCGTGTTGAGTTTAAGTGGTAATTAAGTTATGACGATGGATTAGCTTTGTTTGGGATTTTCTTGTGACGTCAGCTGGAGGGCACTCTTTTGCAGACAAATGTTATCATATCTGTTTGATATGTTTATTTAATGGTGTTTTTACTAAGAGTATCACGTTGTCCATTATCAGACAATAAAGTGCTTTAAAGTTAAGCACTCGCCAATATGGTGATTATGATCCAGTTGAAGAATGGACCTATAAGTGTTGTACGCTTTTCCTTAAAACTATGCAGTTTGTAGTCTTTAGAAGTTAGAAAATTCAATATTCCAGCCAAAAATGTCTAATATAGAATCAAGGTTTGGAGAAGCCACTACATAAGAGTTTTGATCGGTATATATCAATTATCATCGTATAATTATTAGAAGGTGCTGTCTGTTGGAATTTCAATTTTCGAATACGAACAGAGGTTTTAAAGGAGAAAATGGTAAAAAGATTAATTTTCAAAAAAAAAAAAAAAAAAAAAAAAACAAGTAAAAAAGCTGTAAGTTCGGCCAGACTTTGAATACCCTTCACCATTTGGCACGAATTTAACAATTTACAAAAAAAAAAAACTGTTTTAAAATTCTGTTAAAATCATGCAGCCGTATATTAGAGTCTATATGGCGACGTGGACCTGCATAGGCAACTTATATCACAATATTCAAATGCGAAACTTGAAAAAAATCTGTTTAAAATGTAGCTAAAATCGTCAAAATCGTCGAATATAGGGAGGTACCATGTTGGTTATAAAACGTGGATCTGCACAGACAATTTTTTTCATAGGCTGTTATATCGAACTTCACGAACTTCAAATGCGAAATTTGAAACAATTCCGATAAATAATGTCGCTAAAATCATCAAAATACCGAATATCGGGGTGTACCGTTATATGGGGGCTATACGAAGACGTGGACCTGCAAAGGCAATTTTCTGTAGGCTGTAGTATTCATTACGAACTTCAAATGCGAAATTTGAAACAATTCCGGTAAATAGGTTCGCTAAAATCATGAAAATACAGAAGATCGGGGGTACCGGGAGCTATACGAAGGCGTGGACCTGCACAGACAATTTTCTGTGATAGGCTGTAGCATCCATTACAAACTTCAAATACTAAATTTGAAATAGTTCCGGTAAATAATGTCGCTTAAATCATCAAAATACTGAATATTGGGGGGTACCGTTATATGGGGGCTATACGAAGACGTAGACCTACATTGCCCATTTTCTGTTTTATGCTGCAGTATCTATTGAAAACTTTAAATACCAAATTTGAAACAATTCCGGTAAATAATGTAGCTAAAATCATCAAAATACCGAATATCGGGAGGTACAGTTATATGGGAGCTATCCGAAGACGTGGACCTATATGGCCCATTTTCATTACCAAAAGTCCTGCAGACATAGTACACATTTGAGTAAAATTTTATCAACCTACTTCATTTCGTTCGGAAGCTAGAGTGATTTCCACAGACGGACAGACGGACGGACATTGATAAATTGACATAGAATTTTATGCTGATCAAGAATATATATACTTTGTGGGGTCTAAAATGTATATTTCGAGGTGTTACAAACGGAATGACAAACTTAATATACCCTCCATACTATAGTGGAGGGTATAAAAAACAAGTAGAAAAGTATCGGTCAGTTTTGCCGACAGATAGGGTATACATCTGCCAATATTCGATTATTTAAAAATATTTTGACTTCTGTTATGAATTTTCAAACTCTTGGCCCTCTATGGAGTGGTTTTTGAAAGAACGGGTCTATATTGTCCATTTCCTATCGTACCTAAATAAATACGATATAAATATATAAGAAAATCGAACATTTATATATATATTTATATTTATATCCAATTTATGGTAAATCCATATTCATCTCAGGATTCGAGTTGAGAAATATATATTTAGATATAACAAGTTGTAAAGAATCGCTGAGTTGCTTCGAAATTTATGACAGCTAAAAGTATTGAAAATTGTGTCCTTTTGTGGGTGAGGTACCAGTAGGGGCTCACAGATTATAGCATCTTCACAACAGATCTTGTGTTAGCAAAAGTGTCTGTATGTGTGAAATTTGAAGAGATTTAGTTGCTTATTTCGTTTTTTTTTTGAGCGTTTTGTTTTTCAAAATCTTGAGCCCTATGTGGAGGAGGTAGCAAAAGAAATGGTACCATCTTTATAACAGATCTTGTATTGATGGAAATATCTGATATCTGGTATCAAATACCACTTGTGTGGAGTGCACATTACGAATGTGAAGGACTTAAACTCCGAATCGGATGAGATAAAAAAACTGCAACAAAGTCAAAAGCCATGATTTTTACATTTTTTTTAATCTTATTGAATGAAAATGTCGGAAATAGCATCAACTTTTAGAATACATTTAGATTTGTTCGAATTGGTTACCCTTGGCACGAATTAAGACCTTCAAACGGCCAAAGAAACCGTCGCACGCTGCCCGAATGTTGCTCTGTGGTATTTTGGTCCATGCCCAGTGAAGCGCTTGTTTGAGGTAATCGACACATTGGTATTTTTTAGTGCCAATTTTGCTTTCCAAAATACCCCAGACTCAATAGTCCAACGGATTGTTATCCGGAGATTTTGGTGGCCATTTTGCGCAGGAAATGAAGCGAGGAACCTCATTTTGTAACCATTCTTGGCTGGCGCGTGCTGAGTGCGATGGTTCTGAGTCCTGTTGGAATGTCCAATGTTTGCGACCAAAATGTTTGCGTTCCCAAAACTTTAATACACCCTCCAGAATATTTTCGAGATAATATTCAGCATTTATTCTAATACCACGGTCGATTAATACGAGCAGAGAGCGACTATTGGCTGTTATAGAGGCCCACACCATCACCATTGCCGGCGCTTGAGTTTTGGTGGCCAACCGAAGGTGCATATGTTCAGCTGTACTGTTTGGCAAGTAAACACGATCATTTTGTTTGTTTACAAACTGCTGGACAACAAATGTTTTCTCATCGGAGGAAACCAAAGTCGGCAGTTTACTACTTTCGGCCAAGCAAAGCAACTCTTTAGCTCTTTTGAGTCTGTTTTCTTTCTGTTGCGGTGTAAGTTCTTGCGACGCGTGCATTGATCTAGTCGCTTCTTTACTTTTTCGAACCATTTCTGTTGATGTCTTTTTCCGTCCACTTCCTTGACGTCGAGCTACGCTAGAAGTCAAGCGGCGGCCATGGTGATGGTCGCTCTCCGCTTGTATTAATCGACCGTGGCATCAGAATAAATGCCGAAAATATTTTGGAAGGTGTATTAAAGCTTTGGGCACGCAAACTTTTTGGCCGCAGACATTGGACATTATAACAGGACTCAGCACCATCGCACTCAGCACGCGCCACCCAAGTATGGTTACAAAATGAGGTCCTCGCTTCATTTCCTGCGCACAATGGCCACCAAAATCTCCGTTGGACTTTTGTGTCTGGAGAATTTTGCGTTTCTCCGGGAATGGGGCAAAATACCGCAGAGCAACATTCGGGCAGCGTGTGACGGTTTCATTGGTCGTTTGAAGGTCATAATTCGGGCCAAAGGCAATCAATCCGAACAAATGTAAACTTATTCTTAAATTTGATTCTAGAATGTAAAAATTATGGCCTTTAACTTTGTTGCGGTTTTTTTATCTCACCCTGTACCTTGTGGGGTACACAATTTTTGTTTCGAGGTGTTACAAACGGAATGACAAACTTAATATACCAACATACTATAGTGGAGAAATTTCAAAAATTCGCATTTTTATAAAAGCTATACGATTTTGTATGCCCTCAGTCATGTGGTTAGAGTGGGTATATATCATTTGGTATGGCCTAACGAAATAACGGTTTTAAAATCTAGGTCTCTTCGGACCAAATCGATTTCAGACAATATGGAGCTGCTGCGCGCCATAACTCTCGAAGGGGGTTTCCGGTTTGGTCCAAACTTGGTACATCGCAATGTTATTATCAAACATAGATCGGGGAGGGTCAAAATTGGCTCAATCCTAGTGGATCTCCTCCAGAAAATGTCGACATTTTTGAAAAAATTTTTTTTTTTGCAATTTTGGATAATGCGATTTTGCTTCAACTTGGCAAATCTTAATATTTGCATCAGTCCTAGGCCGGGTGCAAAAATGGACAATATCGGTTCACTCCATTTACGGTCATATATACCCGGAATCAAAAACGACAGATGTATACACCCAGCCAATGTTCGATTTTATTTTCGCATGAATTTGGATATGAATGTTAGATTTTCTTGTAATTTTGCCCATACCAGTATTTTTATCATAAATTTCTAAATATATATATATATATATCAACTCAGGTTTCTGATTGAAAGTATGGTGACATAGAAAAGTATTGCAAATTGTGACCCTTTGAGGGTAAGATACCAAAAGGGGTTACTATCTTCAAAACAGATATTGTGGTAGTATGTGTGAAATTTGATGAGAGTTGGTTGCTTATTTCCCTTTCTTTGAGCGTTTTGTTTTTCAAAATCTTAAACTTATTGTTGGAGAGGTACCAGAAGAAAAGGACCATTTCTACCACATACCGTTCGATATGCGGTCTCATTTCATATCTCATATAGCTTGACTCAGTTAAGCCGAAAATATACTCCTTATTTCCAACTTAATTTTATAGGCTGATAAAACTTCGTCGTTTATAATTATAGATTGAAAAAATCCGTGCACCCTGTTGGGTATTGCCAATCGATAAGTTTTATTTAATCAAATAACTCACTTATTAAATCAATATTTTGTTTTGGATTTCCTTTCGGTGGGGGGAGATTATTTGCAAATTTTCACTATATCGCTGCCCAGATTATTGTTTAGTTCGTTATCATCGATTATCGTTGTTCTTTCTATTGACTTTGATTTATATTTGTTATTTTCTGTGTGGAAAGACAAAAAAAACCGTTTATGATAATATGACCACTGCTGGCTGTGCCACTGCGAGCGACCAAAGTTTTCATTTTAGTGGATAATAAATGACATAATTGAGTCGTTGATCGAACCTCCACTCAGGCGGTAGTGGAACGGTAGTTGCATTTAAAGGATATTAGAAACAATTCAAAAAAAAAAAAAAAATGACTGCGGATATAGAAAAGGGTAAAATATTAAAAAAATGCTCAATAGTGTGAAAGTGAAAAAATAAAGATTTGTTATGAAAAGTGAAAAAATAAAAAACGAAGAGGAAGATGATAAAAAATAATATTACCAAAAATATAATTCTAAGTTAAAATAAGATTGAAGAAAAAACAATGAATTAACAATATGGCATCGGTCGTAAACAAAAACAATAAATGTTACATACCTTTGATACATTTCAAAATAGTTTCTTTTGAAACACTTAATCAGTTGACTGGATGTTCCCAGCTTGGGAGTCCTAAATATGAATTCTGAAAAAAAAATACACTTTTCGTTATTTTTTGAGGGACCACTTCCTTCCAAAAAGTTGTTAAGAAATGTGAAACTTTTAAATTGAAAATAAAAACCTCAAATTGGAAAAAATAGAATTAACCTTGTATAACCTAGCCAAATGGCACAACATTTAACAGATAACTGACTGATTACATCCTGAGAGTTTGTATAATTACCACAAATGACATAACATAGAAGACACTGCAATGAATTGGCCAAATATATAAATAACACAAGAAGGAAAAAGTCAAAAGATTATGAAAGTTGAAAGTGAATTTTTGGTCAATGGTGTCTTCGACGTTATTACTGATGATAATAAAATAAATATTTTGATCGAAAATGTTAACCCTCAAGCGGTCTTCTTGGTCCTTTTTTTCAAAATATGGTTGAAAATTACCTTTAAACGGGAGGCATATTAAACGAAATCACAACCAACAACCAAAGAAAAGCAATGTCAGTTTCCATTATAAAGAACTTAATGGAATGTGTTCCTAATTTTTTATACCCTCAGCCATATGGCTACAGAAAGAATATATTATTTGATACGGCCATAACATGACCTATAAAAATGAAGATTTTAAATCTTAGGCCTCTTTGAACGAAATCCGTTTAAGGACAATTATGATCGATTTAAGAAAGGATGTTCCAGGTTAATATAAAATTTGCAAATCCCAACCCAGTTCTATGTTAGGTGGGAAAATGGAAAATATTGGCCCAATCCATCAAGTGCTTCCCTCACAAGGGGTCAAAGTTTTGAATAATTATAACTCATACAAAACGTGAAACGTGAAACAAGAATGCGCCTAAAATTTCACACATCTATCTATTGCCGCCAACACTGTGAAAATGATAGATATTGACACATCCCTTTTTGAACCTCCACCACGAAGGGTCATCATTTTCAACATTTACATCTCATAATGTGAGGAGCAAGTTAGCGATTCTTTCCAATGTTGGTATATCCATGGTACAATAAGGAGGTAGCTTACAGCTTCGTAAAACTACAGAAATACAGCCCTGAGCATGGTACAATGAAGAGAAGGTAGGTCAATTTTGAAAAAAATTCAAATATAGAGGTCTACCTGTTTGGCTTGTAATGTCAAAATTAGTATCAAAACAATAAAAAATCAAACAACTTGTTGCATTTATTTTGAATAAATAATTGAAAACCGCGATAACTGAATGAAAGGTCAACACTTATTTTCAAAATCATGTGCTATATATCTCTAAAGGATTATTTCGCTACAAAAACTCTAGATTTTTTCGATGCATACGTTGAAATAAACATTTTGAAAATATCCGAATTTGAATATTTTCGGAACAATTTTTTTGTTATTGAAAAGAAAACACATACATAAACAAATACAGATGACATATTAAGCCAAGAAAATAAAAAAATTAAAATCATATGGTATCGTAGCCCTACCTTGATATCATTGTACCATGGCCCTGAGGCTATGCCCGCTTCCTGTCAGACACATTCAAAATTGTTGTTGTTTTAATTTTTTCATATTTTTCCTAATTTTTAAATTGAGTTAAATATCACGAAAAATTAGCAAAATGCCTGAATTTTCTCCCAAAAACATGATCCAATCTGTTCAATCTTTCAATTTCATGGCTAAACGGGTTAATAGCTTTAATGCGCGAGCCGCAATGTACGTGTCTTCCAATCAATGGTTTTGAAAATACTTTGTTTTAATTTTTCAAAACAATAAATACATACACGAAATTGGCAGAAGTCGGGCACAATTAGAAAAAAATGTAATCAGCTGGGAGCTCTACCTTACCTTTTTATTGTACCATGGGTATATCCAAGGTACAATGATATCAAGGTAGGGCTATGATACCATATGATTTTAATTTTTTTATTTTCTTGGCCTTATATATCATCTTTATTTGTTTATGTATGTGTTTTCTTTTCAATAACAAAAAAATTGTTCAGAAAATATTCAAATTCGGCTGTTTTCAAAATGTTTATTTCAACGTATGCATCGACAAAATCTAGTTTTTGTAGCGAAATAATCCTTTTTGAGATACATAGTCCATGATTTTGAAAAGAAGTGTTGACCTTTCATTCAGTTATCGCGTTTTTCAATTATTTATTCAAAATAAATGCAACAAGTTGTTTGATTTTTAATTGTTTTGATACTAATTCTGACATTACAAGCCTCTAGAGACCCCTATACTTACAATTTTTTCAAAGTTGGCCTACCTTCTCTTCGTTGTACCATGGGTATATCCAAATATTTCTCTCATTTGCACTTAACAATATTTTTAATCAGTGTAAGATGAAGTGTGAAAATTGAACATTTCGGTCCAATACATCTAGTACCTCCCGCACATTTCATATATCTCACGTAAAGTGAAGGAAGACTAAGGTCAGATAGGAAATGTACAAAATTGACCCACTCCGGTAGTTGGAATAATCACGGACATTGACTTTTTAGCCTATTAATTTTGTTAGTTTTTTTGCTCTACACCACATAGTGGTAAGGGGAAAATGGGTTCAGATACAGCAATGGCTCGCATATATATGTTTCATCCGATTTGGAGGGTTTGAGTCCCTCACATGCGAAATATGCACTCTACAACAATGATCTATGGTACCCGATATCAGATACAGCTCAGAAATACATCTATAAAATTTTATGGAGATCGGATCAGATTCGGACATAGCACCCATACATATCTTTATCTGATATCAGGTTTATTGTTCATCAAATGGCTAATATCAGCCAAAATGAACTTAATATTGATAATTCCGATGGAATTCATCCAAGAAGCAAGTACTTCAAATTTGGTGAAAATCTGGTCAGATATAGTTATAGCTCCCATATATATGTTTCATCCGATTTGGTGTTGCGTAATATGCACTCCTCAACAATGATATTTTATAAAGAGCATCAGATATTACTTAAAAATACCTCTGCTAAATATTATCGAGATCGGTTCAGGTTTTTATGTAGCTTCGATATACATATATATTATACGGTTATTGTTCATTATATATGTAATATATGTATAGGTTTTTTCATATTCAACCGAATTTTATCATTTGGCGAAACTCGGTCTGGTATATCTATTGCTCCAAGAAATATTTTTATACCCTACAACACTAGATGTGTTGGCGAGTTTGATTGGCCCAAAAATTATGTAACACCTCCATATATTGGTTTCCCACATAGGAAAGTATATATGGATATTCCTATCTCGTCGAGCTGAGTAGTTCTAGCTATGTATGTCCGTTTTCCATGTTAATTTGTAATCACGAAATTTACAAAGGAGTTGGGGTTAGGGACAGAGTAGAACCCTACTGCTTTTGGAGATGATCGCATAATACTTAGGGATTGAAATGGACCAAAACCTGAAAAACTTCCTGAATTTGAGGTTGCTCTACAGGTCACAATTATGGACCACTCGACGCGGAAGTTAGCATAAGGCTAGAGCTTAGGGCTGGGCAGAAGTCTTCCAATTTTGATGGTCATCGGATAATATTTAGTGGGTGAAATAAACCATAACATTTGTGTTGAATAAAAGTCAAATTTTCCATTAAACCGTGAATATTTTTAATCACGGCGAAATCACAAATAGACGAACAGGTCCATTCTGACCGTTACGTAGATGCCCATAGTAAATATATCGATTATATATAGCGAAATATAAACAATGAAGGGGATGTTAGCTAGAATGCTTATATCTCAAGAATGGCTGGGCCGATTTTGACAAATTTTGTCAATTTAGAATGCCCTATCGGCATAAAAGTATAAAATCTAAAAAAAAATCGCGTAAAAATATGCCAATAATGATCTTAATATAGATTTTGAAGTATTTTGTAACATTTTTATATTTTTTCATATTTTTTTATCGCATGCGATTTTTTTAATTTGACTTACAATATTGAAGTGCAAATTTTGTAATATTTTTTCACCTAACAACACAGGTTGAGGTTATTTTATACAGATTGCAAAAATCGTCCGATTTTCACAAAAATTTTCCCAAGGGCAGGGTTAGGCTCAAAAGGGCTAGGCCTATTGCTTCCAAAGATGTCCCAACAATTAAAAATGTTCCTGATTTTGCATTTGTCGAATATAGCCTAATATCGTAGACAAGCAAATCATATAGATGAGTCTAAATTTTGGAGATAAAGAGGTGCCTCTCGTTTTTGGAGATGATCGCAAAATAGTTAGGGGTTTAAATTAACCAAAAACATAAACAGTTTCCTGATCGCACAATTTAAACCAATCGACAAGTCTGAGAAGATAGTTAAGGACAGGGAAGAATTCTAGAATTTTGGATGACCTTTGGATTAAATTTAGCTGTAAAATGACCACAAAAATCAACAATATTGGGCAAATGTCCCTGGTGAAAATTATAAGGGTAATATCTGGGCAGTGCTCCGTCGCAGAATTTTAAAAGCGAAATCTTCCAAAATGGATTTGGACATAAGTGGGCTTCTAACATATTGTAGTGTTGTAGGGTATCACATGGTCAGCCCAACATGACTATAGCCTTTGCTTACTTGTTTAATATAATCCTTATCGAGGTTATATCATGCACTACACAGCAATGTTGTTTGGTACTAGCGGGCAAAAGCCTCCGTCAAAATCGATTCAGAGTTGGACTACTCTAAAGCCATAAGCATTTAAATAAGGATCATCGTTTTTAAGATCTACTTCACATATATTCCCAATATAAACGTTTTTGTTATGGGAGCTCTACTAAACACGCATAGTGGTGTGGAATATCATATAGTCAGCCCCGCCTGACTTTTAATCTTTCCTTACTGGTTTATATATGTGTATCGATTGGATAAAATTTACTTCACGAAACATTATTAATACTGGTCTAAGATTCCATAATTGTATCATATGGTGGCACCAGCTATTTTTAAGGTGTGTTTTATGTCCTGATAACATTTTTCCCGATCGTAGTGACTATAATTAAATATTTAGAATTCTAAATTTGTAGAAAAAAAACCATATCCTTGTAAATATTTTTCATGCCGATAGAGATTTTGGAATTTCTGTTGATCGGTTTGGCCTTCAATCATGGGTATTGTGAAAGTTCTAACCATTGAACTAACTACAAATTAATATTTTTACACGTTATGGTATCTGACCCTTTTTCTGATTTAAGAAAACTGATTTCAAAATAATTCAAATTTTGATATGGTGAAGGTCTTAAAATGTTCGGCTCGGCCAAAATAAAATAATATCTTTACTAGTTTTTTTATTGAATTCAATTTTTGTATATTAAAATAGGACCTATTTTGGGCCAACGACATCTGCAGGTGTTCCTGCTCTTCCTTGCCATTACCGTGAATTATATTGCTAAATTTAATGCTGGAGTAGCGGTGGTTGCCATGACAAATGCAGAAACAACAAATCCAGATTTTCCGGTAAGTAAAAATAATAGGAAAACCCTCAGATATAATTTAAGAGGAGTTCCAAAGATTATTCTAATATAAATATATTCAAAATGTTCTTAATAAATAGAAGACCTTCAAGACACCTCTTCGATGTTTCTGAAATACTATTGGAAGCCTTCAGAAGATCTACTGTAAAAAACTCTTGATTAATCTTTCAAAGAAAGCCTTCTATTTTTGAAGGCTATCTTGAATATATGTCAAACATAGAAGCTTTTTTGAAGGACTTGCATTTCGAAAAAAATCTGTTGACGTTTATACAGCTATATTTTGGATGTCTTCGCTGAATAAATGCTTTTGAAAGGTCTCCTATTTATGGAAATCCTTCGGAAGGTCTTCTTTCTTTTAATACTCCTTGAAGGTTTTTTGCTCATTGAAGATCCATGGAAGGATGTATTTTTATGGTATATATTTTTTTTTTTTTGAATTGTATATACTTCTCTTCCCTTGTGAGGAGGATTTTCAGGAGTCATCAATAATTAATTTTTATACCCTACACCACAAGGTGGTCAGGGTATTATGTCTTTGTGCATTTGTTGTAACAGGCAAAAGTAAACGAGATAGACCCATAGTTCCTTTTGATGATCTGCATAGAATCACATTCTAAGTCGATTTATGCACGTCCGTCCATCTGTCCATGTAATTTGTAAACAAAATACAGGTCGCATTTATTGCCCGATCCAGATGAAATTTTGCACAAATCATTTGTTTGGCCCAAGGACGAACCCTATTGAAAACCTAAGATAATCGGTCAAAATTTAGATATAGCTCCCATATATATCTTCGTCCAGCCCGAATTGTATGGAATTTTGAATATACACCCAAATTAAGCCTAACAATAAGTATGTCAAATTTGATCGAAATCGGTTCAGATATGGCTATAGCTCCCATATATATTGTTCATCCGATTTGTTATTTTTGTCCTAAGCTGCGTAATATGCGCTCTGCAACGAATATATCAAATACAGCTCAGAAATACATTTGCTAAATTGTATCGAGATCGGTTCAGATTTGGATATAGCTCCCATATATAACTTCCGATTACTTTTGATTTACTTTTGATTTACTTTTGATTGTGCACCAAACGTCTAATATTTGTCTGAATGGGATGGAATCTGGCACTTACGACCGAATTGAGTCTAGAAGCTAGTATGTCAAATTTGGTGAATATCGGTTCAGATATAGATATAGGTGCCATATATATTGTTCATCCGATTTGTTATATTTGTTACCCACAACCGTAATATGCACTCCGTAACAACGATATTCAGGGAAATATATCAAATACAGCTCAGAAATATTTTTGCCAAATTTTAGCGAGATCGGTTCAGATTTGGATATAGCTCCCATATACATTTTTATCTGATTTTAAATTATTTGTGCACCAAATGGGCAACACAAGTCCGAATTCAAAAGATACAAATGCTTCGGCATATTTAGTCCTCTGAACTTTAAATTATAATTATAATCATAGCGTGTATGATTAAATTCTCTCACAAAAACTTTTAATTGTTATGTGGAGCTCTACTAAATTAGCAAAGTGGTGTAGGGTATCATAAAGTCGGCTCGCCCGACGTTAAGACTTTGTTTACTGGTTTTTATTATTTTTTATGTTTTTCAGGAATACGATTGGAATGAAATGGAAAAATCCTACATCCTGTCGAGTTTCTTTTGGGGTTACTTTGTGACACAATTTCCCGGTGGCTACTTGTGTCGGCGATTTGGTGCCAAATTGACAATGTTTGTTTCAACGTTAGGCTCCGCCTTGGGGGCTCTGCTTATACCGTTCACCGTGGACTGGGGTGGCTGGCAGGTGTATTGTGGCATTCGTGTTGTACAGGGTCTATTCCAAGGTCTGCTATTTCCCTGTATTCATTCTCACCTGGCCGCCTGGTGTCCGGTGAGCGAGAGAAATCGTTTGGGAGCACTAGCCAATACGGGTATAGAATGTGGCACGGTGCTGGCAATGTTTTTAAGTGGCATTATAGCTGCCTCCAGCATGGGATGGCCGGGTATTTCTTATATATCCTGCGGTGTTGGTGTTGTATGGTGTATTTTGTGGATTGTATTTGCCGCCAATAGCCCCAGTGAATCGAAATTAATTTCCGAAGCCGAATGCAATTACATTGAAAGTTCCAAGAATGCCTTGAAGGAGGTGGATGCACGTGACACACCGAAAAAGATTCCTGTGCCATGGGAGGCTATTATGAGCTCATGGCCGTTCTGGGCGTTGCTGGTTGCCAGATCTGCCCAATCGTGGGGTTTCTCAACGCTACAAGCTGAGATTCCTTCCTATATGAATGGTGTCCTGGGCATGGATATGAAGAGTAATGCCTTGTTTTCGGCCCTACCCTATTTTGCCATGTGGTGTATGTCGTATATCTATTTGATTTTATCGGATGTTTTATTGCAAAAGGAAATCTTGAGCCTAAATGGAATTAGGAAAACTTTCAACTCCTTGGCATTTTGGGTACCAGCAGTTGGTCTAATAGCTGTGGGATTTGTGGGCGAAAGCCAACAAACATTGGCCATTGTTTTGATGACAGCAAATGTGGGCATCAATGCGGGTTCCACCATTGGTAGTGCCTTGAATACCATTGATTTGTCGCCCAATCATGCTGGCATTCTAATGGGTATTGTCAATACATCGGCCAATATTATACCAATTTTGACACCGCTGCTGGTGGGATTGATTGTGAAGAATGAGGTAAGTAACAGATGAAGAATTTGATGAGGTACAACAAAGTAATGCTTCTTCATTTTGGTTTCTAGGAGGATCGCACAGAATGGCAAATAGTCTTTGCCATTTCGGCCATTGTCTTTGGTTTGGGCAACTTGTTCTACATTGTCTTTGGATCCACAAAACTGCAGCCATGGGATGATGAAAATTTCCTCCTTTCGAAAGATATACAAAATGAAGACTGTGTTGATAACAAATCGACGGAAACGAAAGAAAAGTATTAAATTATATTATTTAAGATTATATTAGACATATAAGTCATATGATATGTTAAAGTATTATAAGTAGTTTTTAGATATACGGCTTTTTAATTTATTAAACAACAACAAGTAAAAAGGCAGTAAATTCGGCCGGGCCGAACTTTGAATACAATCCACCATTTGAAAAATTTAAAAAAAAAATAAATTCCATTAAAATTTCAGTTAATATCTTTAAAATACTTAATATCGAAAGGTGCCGATATATGGGGGATATACGATATTGTGGATCTATATAGACAAAGTACTCACAAAGAACTCCTTGTATAGAATTTCAGACAGTTCCGTTGAAAAATGTATCTAAAATCGTCAAAATACCGAATATCTGGGTGTACCGTTATATGGAGGATATAGTTATCGTGGACCTATATAGACAATTCTCTTCCAGGGGGCAAAGTACTCACAAGGAACTTCTTGTGTGGATTTTCACCAAAATATCCAATATCGGGGGTACCGTTATATAGGGGCTATACGATATCGTGGACCTAATTCTCTTCCAAGGGATAAAGTATCCACAAGGAACTCCTTGTGCGAAATTTTGGACAATTCCATTAAAAAATGGGGCTAAAATAATCAAAATACCGAATATCGGGGCGTACCGTTATATGGGGGATATACGATATCGTGGACCTATATAGACAATTCTCTTTCAGGGGGTACAGTGCTCACAAGGAACTCCTTGTGTGGAATTTCAGACAATTCCATTAAAAAAAGGGGCTAAAATAATCAAAATACCGAATATCGGGAGGTGCCGTTATATGGGGGCTATACGATATCGTGGACCGATGTAGCCCATCTTCGAACTTGACCTGCCTGCAGACAAAAGGTACCGTTATATGGGGGCTATACGATATCGTGGACCGATATAGCCCATATTCGAACTCGACCTGCCTGAGAACAAAAGACAGATCTATGCAAAATTTTAGCTTCCTATCTTTATTCGTTTTCGTGATTACAACGGACGGACAGACGGACAGATATGGCTAAATCGTCTTAGAATTTTACGCTGATCAAGAATATATATACTTTGTTGGGTCTAAAATGATTATTTCGATGAGTTACAAACGGAATGACGAACTTATGTATGGTGGAGGGTATAAAAATCACAAAATGTTTTTTTCTGCAGCAGTTTGACAGAAAATAAAGTGTGGTATTGAATATTTATAGATTATAATTTTATACAGAGTTACGCCTAAGAACAATACCATCGTAGAACAATTAAAAAAAGTGTAAAAGACTTGATTTCTTGCTAGAGTTCTGCATTTTTATTTTACCCCGAAAGTCCTTTAGATATATCGATATGATAATTTTATTGATGTGCCTGATTAGTGACAAATTAAACCTGATGCCAGTACTCCCACTTATCCAAAATCCAATGTTCTTATGTGATATCTTTTCGACCAGATTGTTGTTCATCGGAACTGCATTCAATATCATCTCGACATTTGGGCAACAAAAAGTTCGGATCATTCCAGGGTTGGGCATCCGTTGAGCCCCAAATTAGATAAATTATATTACCCACGAAATATATCAAAGCACAAATGATAAACAGAATTTGCCACTGTCTATCATCGGACTAAAATAGATAAGTAAATGTTAGGTTAGATTTTAACAGCCCTGAAAATGTAGATAACATTTTACTTACATCATCGTGTACGACGGCAGCCATTACCAGAGGATTTAACATAGGCATTATACTACCCGCCGCATTTAGAATGCTCATCAAAATGTCGGTGTGATTTGGTGACAGATCAATGACATTTAAACCACTGCCAATCATATTACCCGCATTGATGCCCACAATGACAATCATCAAAATTCCGGCAATAATCTGTTGATGGGGCTTCAGAAAACCAATGCCTATCAGACATATGGCTGGTATCCAAAATGCAATGGAGTTAAAAGTTTTTCTCAACGCATTCAGCGATAATATTTTATAATTTATCAAAAGATCCGCCAGTATCAAATATACATAGGACATTACCCACAGGAGTATATAGGGCAAGGCCGAGTAGAGCGTATTATTTTTCATATCCATACAAAACACACCATTCATGTATTCAGGCAAGGCTGCTTGAACTGCGGTGAAGGACCAGGCCTCCGAACATCGAGCCACAATTAAAGCCCAAAAGGCTGGCGATAATAGAATAGCCTTCCAGGGTATGGGTATTGATTTTTTGCTACCCTCCACAGTTTCTTTTTTCGATATTTGAATATAAGTTTTTTCCTCGAGTGATATAAACTTTGAAGTATTTGGTGAGCTGGCACCAAATATTATCCATAAGAGACACCAAATAAGTCCAATGCCACAGAATATATAGGAAATTCCTGGCCAACCAAGTGCTGATATGGCTATAAGGCCACTAAGTAACATGGCCATCAGTGTGCCACATTCATTACCCGAAAATGCCAATGCACCCAGACGATTCCTTTCCTCCACCGGGCACCAATTGGCTAAAAGTGCATAGGCGCCAGATAAATCCAAGCCCTGGAACACACCTTGTACTACTCGCACAGCACAAAATATTTGCCAGTCGCCAAATTTCAAGGTGATGGGTAATATCAGCCCCACCAAAGATGAACCAAATATTGCCGTAAACAAAGTGACTTTTTCACCAAAACGCTTACAATAATAGCCTGCAAACAGTTGTGTAAAGAGATAACCCCAAAAGAAACTGGACAATATGTAGGATTTTTCCGATTCGTTCCAATTATATTGCTGAAAATAAAAGACAATACTAATATATAACAAGTAAGCAAAGGCTATAGTCGTGCGGGGCCGATACCCTACAACACAACAATATGTGAGAAGCCCCCCTCATATCCAAATCCATTTTGGAAGAATTCGCTTTTGAAATTATGTCACGGAGCACTGCCCAGATATTACCCTTAGCATTTTGACCAGGTACATTTTCCCAATATTTGTGCACTCCGTTGTGCTGTTAGTTTTTGTGGTCCATTTTAGGGCTAAATATAATCCAATGGTCATCCAAAATGCCAGAATTCTTCCCTGTGCTTAACTATCTTCTCAGGCGTGTCGATTGGCTTCAATTGTGTGATCAGGATTTTTTTCTTCTTTTTGTTCATTTGAACCCCTAAATATTTTGGGATCATCTCCAAAAGCAATTTGGCTATATTTGTCAACGAAATCAGCATAAACAAGTAAGCAAAGGCTACAGTCGAGCGGGGCCGACCGTTGAATACCCTACAACACTATAATAAACGATACAGTTTATATAGGCGAGATACTCGAAAGAATTCCACAAGATATTGTGACAAATAATAAAAGAAAACCATCAGGTTTCGTTCTCTAATTTTCGAATAATAGCAACTTTAACTAATTTGCTCATTTCCAATTTATTGGTAGATGTTGCACGTAAATGGTCTTCCTAGATTTGTAACCAATATTTCCCAAAGACCTATAATCTCTAAGAAGTGGCAAAAGATTAACATTTATTATTGGTTTTTCACTGAAACGCATCTATATAAGATACAGACATTTGACTATATTCTTCAACAATATCAGCGTTAACGAAATAGTCAGAAGTGCGTCTTTCCTATATTTGTGAATTCTCCAAAAAGTCTCTGGAATGGACATTTTCGTATTTAGTCTACAAAAGTTGACAAACTATTCCACACATTGAATATTTTTGGATGGCCATCCGAAACTGCTTGGCTTTTGCAATGTAACCCCCATTCAAATGTGCGTGAGGATCGGGCGATAATTACGACCTGCTGACAATTTGGCAGTTTTTTGGACCATTTCAACCCCTATATATATAGCGATCATCTCCAAAAAGAGTAGGCATCTATTCTGACCCTCATCTTATCCCCATGCAAAATTTCGTAAGGATCGGCCCATAAATGCGATCTGTATATGATATCCTGATATCCTAACTACTTAGTTTTGTTAGCTGTAAAAATATTACCAAATGTTTAATTCAAAATGAAAATATGCCAAAAATATGACAAAATTGAAAAAATATGAGAAAATTTTACAAAATCAATATTTTCATCTTTAGAGAGATATTTTTATGCGATTTTTTTAGACGGTTTTTCTTTCCTGCCAAGAGGCCATTCTGAATTAATGAGAACTGTCGAAATCAGTTCAGCCGTTCTCGACATATAAGAGATCTTTCAAGCATATCTTCTTTGATAGACATATATATCGCACATATTTTGCTATATATCCGATTTGTTGGATGTTAGCATCAATGTAAAGATCAGAAGTAACCTTGTCATGGCTTTGTGATTTCGCATGGATTTAAAATATTCGCGGTTTAATGAAAAATTTTGAATTTTTTCAACACAAAAAATATGGTATATTTTACCCGCTAAATATTATCCGATGACCACCCAAATTGGTAGGCTTCTTCCCCGCCCTAAACTCTAGCTACATGCGAAATTCCGCGTCGATTGGTCTATAATTGCGACCTGTATAGCTACTGCAAAATCCGATATTTTTCAGTTTTTGGTCTATTTCGACCCCTAAATATTATGCGATCATCTCCAAAAGAAATAGGGTTCTATTCTGACCCTAGCCCCACCTCCATTCTAAATTTCGTGAAAATCGGGCCATAATTGCGACCTGTAGAGTGATTACAAATTAACATGGACAGACGGACAGACGGACGGACCGACATATATAGCTAGATCGACTCGATCGGCGAGATAGGAAGATCCATATATACTTTCCTATGTGGGAAATCAATATTTCGAGGTGTTACATAGTTTTTGGCCCAATCAAACTTATAATACCCCCAACACATAGTGTTGTAGGGTATAAAAAGCCAGAAGTTCGCCTATTGTGTATTTCGGATATCGCCTGTAAGTAATGTCAGTATTTTTTCAAACAAAAGTAGTGGTCCAATCTACCGGCTGTCTTAAATTCTAACTTCATGCAAGATTTCGTGTCCTTTGGTTTCTATTTGTAACCTTTTTAACGGCTACAAAATCAGGAACATTTTGAGTTGCTGGTCCATTTCAACCCCTAAATATATTGCGGACATCTTTGAAAACAATAGGCTTAGCCCTTCTGAGCCTAACCCTACCTTTGTCAAAAATTTCGTGAGGATCGAACGATAATTGCAATCTGTGTATAAATAATAACTCCAACCTGTGTTGTAAAGTGCAAAAATATTTACAAAATATACACTTCAATATTATAAGTCAAATTGGAAAAATCGCATGCGATCATCTCCAAAAGAAATAGGGTTCTATTCTGACATTAACCACACCTACATTTTAAATTTCGTGAAGATCGAGCCATAATAGCGACTTGTAGAGTGATTAGAAATTAACATGGACAGACGGACGGACGGACATACATAGCTAGATCGACTCAGCTCGGCGAGATAGGAAGATCCATATATACTTTCCTATGTGGGAAATCAATATTTCGTGGTGTTAAATAATTTTTGGCCCATTCAAACTTATAATACCCCCAGCACAAAGTGTTGTAGGGTATAATAATATGTTGTTTCAAAATTAAAACTCACCGGAAAATTAGGATTGGTTGTCGATGAGTTTGTCATTGCCACCAAAGATATACTGGCGCTGTATCTGGTCATATAATTTATTGCAGCAAAACCAAACAACAGCAATGTCTGGACATGTCTTTGGCCAATAACCGGACCTAAATTAGCAAAATTAATAGGCATTGCCAATTGATTCAGAACTCCATCTATTGAAATTAAAAAGGTCAGTACCTTTGCTGATATCACTTTCCATTGGAGATTCTCACTTTAGATATTCCGTCGACAGTAGACGCCGTGATCGTTGGGAAATGATTGAACCTCAGCCAACAACTGCAACCGCAATTGCACTGCCCAAACGTTATCTAGTTAAAAAAGAAACAAACTTATAGCATAAAAAACATGCGATAACAACTTCACATTAAGTTGTCATCAGAAAAAATCAAAAGATATTAAATGATATTACATGAACATTTTTTATTCCACGTTTGTGTATTTTTAACGCGCTTAACAGTTTTAAATTAACGATAAATAGTGAGTAGCACCATTCAACCAATGTGTACAAGCATACATACATAAGTATAAAATCGCGAACAACGAATTTTGTCCAGAAAGTGATGCCAATGTTCTTTCCAAATTAAAATCAGTTAAAAAGTATCTATCGGTTTTGCCGACAGATGTGTACCCTCAACCAATGAAGTATTACTTAAAAATATTGTGAAATCTGTTATGATTATTCAAATATATAACCCCTTATGGAGTAGATTCCGAAGGAATGGGCCAATATTGGCCATTTCGTATCGGACCTAAGTAAATATGATATAAATATTGCGACGTGGGGTTGTACTATACTATAAAACCAGTAAAGAAAGTCTTAAAGTCGGGCCGGGCCACGCTATGATTATAATTATAATTATATTATTACTACAATATATATAATTATTATTATTATTATTATTATTATTATTATCATTATTATTATCATTATGATTATTATTATTATTATTATTATTATTATTATTATTATTATTATTATTATTATTATTATTATTATTATTATTATTATTATTATTATTATTATTAATATTATTATTGTTATTGTTATTGTTATTATTATTATTATTATTATTATTACTATTATTATTATTATTATTATTATTATTATTATTATTATTATTATTATTATTATTATTATTATTATTATTATTATTATTATTATTATTATTATTATTATTATTATTATTATTATTATTATTATTATTATTATTATTATTATTATTATTATTATTATTATTATTATTATTATTATTATTATTATTATTATTATTATTATTATTATTATTATTATTATTATTATTATTATCATTATTATTATTATTATTATTATTATTATTATTATTATTATATTTTATAATTATAATTTAAAGTTCAAAGAGCTAAATATGCCGAAGCATTTGTATCTTTTAAATTCGGACTTGTGTTGACCATTTGGTGCACAATTAATTTGAAATCGGAGAAATATATATATATATATGAGAGCTATATCCAAATCTGAACCGATCTCGATAAAATTTGGCAAAGATATTTCTGATCTGTATTTGATATATTTCCCTGAATATCGTTGTTACGGAGTGCATATTACGGTTGTGGGTAACAAATATAACAAATCGGATGGACAATATATATGGGAGCTATAGCTTAATCTGAACCGATCATTCACTAAATTTGACATACTAGCTTCTAGACTCAATTCGGTCGTAAGTGTCAAGTTCCATCCCATTTGGACAAATATTAGACGTTTGGTGCACAATAAAAGGTAAATCGGACGAAATTATTTATGGGAGCTATATCCAAATCTGAACCGATCTCGATAAAATTTAGCAGATGTATTTCTGAGCTGTATTTGATATATTTCCATAAATATTGTTGTTACAGAGTGCATATTACGCAGCGGAGGACAAAAATAATAAATCGGATGAACAATATATATGGGAGCAATAGCTATATCTAAACCGATTTTGATTAAATTTGGCATACTTATTTTCAGACCTAATTTTGTTGTATGTGAAAAATTCCATACTGTTCGGGCTGATATTACACGTTTGGTGCACAATAAAAGGCAATCGGACGAAGATATATATGGGAGTTATCTAAATTTTTACCGATTATCTCCAATTTCAATAGGGTTCGTCGTTGGGCCAAACAAATGATTTTTGCAAAATGTCATCTGAATAGGGTAATAAATGCGATCTGTACTTTGTTTACAAAAATACGTGGACAGACGTACAGACAGACGGATGGACATGCATAAATCGACTCAGAATGTGATTCTAAGCATATCGTCAAAAGGAACTATGGGTCTATCTCGTTTCCTTTTGCCTGTTACAAACAAATGCACAAAGACGTAATACCCTGACCACTTTGTGGTGTAGGGTATAAAAATTGGTATGGGCAATATTACAGGAAAATCGAACATTAATATCCAATTTATGGGAAATAATAAATTCCATATTCATCTCACGTTTCTGGCAAAGGGGGATATATTTATATATAGCAAGTTTTAAAGAATTGTTTCGCAATTTATGACAGATAAATGTATTGAATTTTTTGTGCCTTTGTGGCACAAGATAGCAACAGATCTTGTGTTAGCAAAAATGCTTGTATGTGTGAAATTTGAAGAGAGTGGGATGCTTATTTCGCTTTCTCTGAGCGTTATGTTTTTCAAAATTCTGAACTCTATGTTGGGCAGGTAGCACTCTACTCTACAACTCTATGTTGGGCAGTCCGGTCTCTACCATCTTTATAACAGATCTTGTGTTGATGGAAATAGTGAGATGTACCACGTCTAGAATGGAATCAGATGTTGATTTCGCTTCTTATGAACTTCATGGATATTGAAAATTTTGAGCGTTTGTGGGGGAGGTACCAGATGGAGTTGACCGATATATGCCGTCTTACTGCCAGATCTTGGGTTCATAAAAATACTAGGATATGTGAAATTTGAAGACAATCGGACTCTTACATAATATTTTTTAAGAGTTATAATTATTCAACATTTTGACCCTTTGTATAAGAGGCACTTGATGAAGGGCACCAATATTATCGACTTTGGCACGAGACCTAGAACTGACGCAAATTTTCGACCTAGAACTGACGCAAATTTTCAACATTCAAATTTCGACATTTTGTGGGGGAGGTACCACAAGGAGTGGACCGATATTGTCCATCTTAACACCAGACCTTGGGTTAATATAAATATTGGGATGTGTGAAATTTGATGACAATCGGACTCTTACATAACATTTTATGAGAGTTGTATTTATTCAAAATTTTGACCATTTGTGTGGGAGGAACTTGATGGAGTGGGCCGATATTGTCCATTTTCACACCTGACGCAAAAACTACGATTTGCAAAGTTGGAGCAAAAATGGAATAACCTTTCTCTTTCTCTGCAAAAAAATAAATTTTTTGAAAATGTCGATCTTTTGTGGGGGAGGTACTAAAAAGGGTGGATCGATATTGCCCATCTCCGAACTCGATCTAAGTTTGACAAAAAATATTACGATGTACCCATTTTGGACTAAATCAGATTCTCCTTTCGAAGGTTATCGTGCGCACCAGCCAGACAGACAGACGGACGGATATAGCTAGATCGACTCCAAATGTTCTGCAACGGATTTGGTCCAAAGAGACCTAGGGTCTAAAACCGTTATTTCAACTAGGCACGTTTTGACCGTAGCAAATTTTACATACCCTCTGTAGCACTTAACGTCTTAAGGTAGGCAATTGCTATAGCCGACTGGAATATTTGCGTGGCATAGTGTGTAAAGTCTACAACAGCATAGATGTACAAAAATGTACGTTAGTGGCGCTGGATGTGAGCGTATTCTATTTTCTCGCTTTTCGTTAGCGATTTTAATACCCTACACCACAAGGTGGTCAGGGTATTATGTCTTTGTGCATTTCTTATAGTTCATTTTAATGATCTGCATAGAATCACATTCTGAGTCGATTTATACATGTCCGCCCGTCTGTCCATGTATTTTTTTAAACAAATAAATCATCGCTCGTTACCGTGATACTGGTAGCGTAGCCCGACGTCAAGGAAGTGGACGGAAGAAACCAGCAAAATCAGCAGAAATGGTTCGAAAAGTAAAGAAGCGACTTGATCGAAACCCGCGTCGCAATGACCGAAAAACGGCTTGTGAGCTGAACATATTGCAATATTCCATTTGGCAAATATTGAAAAACGAGCTCGGGGTAAAGCCATTGAAATTCCAAAAAGTGCAAGAACTTTCACCGCTACAGAAAGAAAATAGACTCAAAAGAGCTAAAGTGGAACTTTGCACTTACCACTAAATTGAGCATTGAAACAAATACGTTAAACATCGGTTCAGATATAGGTATAGCTCCCATATGTATTGTACATTCGATTTATTATATTTGTTCTGCACAGCCGTAATATGCACTCCGTTACAACAAAATTCAGGGAAATATATCAAATACAGCTCGGAAATATATTTGCCAAATTTTTGGGAGATCGGTTCAGGTTTGGATATAGCTCCCATATATATCTTTATCAGATTTCAAATTAAATGTGCACCGAATGGGTAATACAAGCCCGAATTGAAAAAATACAAATACCCCGGCAAATTTAATCCTTTGGACTTTAAATTTTAATTATAATCCTAGTTGGGATGATGTAATTCTCACAAAATCCCCATAAAAACTTTTATTTGTTATCTGAAGACTTTATTGACTGGTTGGTTATGAATTCTCATTTACGCTCATACACTCACTCGCAATTTTGGTTATGCCCATCCAGAGATGTCAATTGTATTTGTTTTTTTTGTATTTGTATGAAACGAGCAAAAAAGAATAAGGAAACGAGGCCAATATATAACATTGAACAAGTGAAAAAGAAGCTAAGTTCGACCAGGCTGAAATTTTAATAGCATCCACCATTTTGAAGGAACTTGAAAAATTAAAAAAAAAAAATAAATAAATAAATAAATCAAAAAAAAAAAAAAATAATAATAAAATCTGTCGAAAACTAACGCTGAAAGGAAACCCGTTAAATGGGGGCTATACCAGGACGTGGTCTTGCATATACAGATTTTTGTCATAGGCTGGAGTACACATTACAAACTTTAGATTCGACATTTGAAACAATTCCGGTAAAAATGTCGCTAAATTAATCCAAATGGGCGAATATCGGGGGAACAGTTAAATGGGGGCCATACGATATCGTGGACCTATAAAGACAATTCTCTTCCAGAGGGTAAAGTACTCAGAAGTAACTCCTTGTGTAGATTTTCAGATAATTCCATTGAAAAATGTGGCTAAAATCATCAAAATATCGAATATCGGGAGTTAAAGTTATATCGGGGAATATACGATATCGTTGTCCTTATATGTGGTGCCGTTAAATGTGGACTATATGAAGACGTGGACCTACATAGACAATTTTCTGTCATGGGTTGTAGTACCCATTACAAACTTTGAATACGGAATTATAAACAATTCCGGTAAGAAATGTCGCCGAATTCATCCAAATAATGAATATCGGGGAATGCCGTAGTTAAATTTTTGTTTCAAAATAGTTAGTATTTATTGCATTATTTTTGATTTTATAAAAATTATGTTTATTCATTAGTAGAGAGAGAGATTTATTTTAAATAACTGTTGGGGAGAATATCCCCACGCAAAAACCATAGCAACTGACCAAGGTTGGTGGCTACTTCCGAGACCATCTTGTTTCCGACCCTTTTATACCCTCCACCTTGGAAAGGAGGGTATATTAACTTTGTCATTCCACTTGTAACATCCTTAAATATTCGTCGTAGACCCCATAATGTATATATATTCATAATCAGCATAAAATTCTAAGTCGATTTAACGATGTCCGTCTGTCTGTCTATTGAAATCACGATACAGCCCACATTATTTGACGTAGAGCGCCAACATTTATCACATCAATTTGTATTGTGTCTAGGATGGTTAGTATTGAAAATGAGATATATCGGTCCACGTTCTGGTACCGTAACGGTACCTCCCAATATTCGGTATTTTGATGATTTATGCCACATTTTTTCACGGATTTGTCTAAAAATTGGTATTTGTTGGTCATAATGGGTTCCAGCTTCGGTGGCGAAACATTGCATGTATGGGTCCACGATTTGGTATAGCCCCCATATAACGGTACCTCCCGGTATTCGGTATTTTGCCATATTTTTTCACTGATTTGTCTAAAAATTGGTATTTGTGGGTCATAATGGGTCCTAGTTCGTGTGGCGAAACATTGTATGTATAGGTCCACGTTTTGGTATAGTCCCCATATAACGGTACCTCCCAATATTCGGTATTTTGATGATTTTTGCCACATTTTTTCACGAATTTCTCTGAAAATTTCGTAGTTGTAGAACATAATGGCTCCCAGATCGTGTGGCGAGTCATTGAAATTATAGGTTCACGTTTTGGTATAGCCCCCAGATAATGGTACCACCCGATATTCGGTAATTTGATGATTTTTGCCACATTTTTTCACGGATTTGTCGGAAAATTGGTATTTGTAGGTCATAATGGGTTCTAGCTCCTTTGGCGAAACATTGCATGTGTAGGTCTACGATTTGGTATAGTCCCCATATAACTGCACCTCCCGATATTCGGCATTTTAATGGTTTTTGCCGCACTTATTCTAATGTTTCTTTACCCTAAGGTGGAGGGTATTAAAAGTTTGGCCCGGCCGAACTTAATGTGTTTTTACTTGTTCTATAATAATAAATAAACATTTTTATTATATGAATAAAGCCTTACGATATTGCAGTACATTTCTATACCCTAAAACGCTATGTGTTAGGGGGTATTATAAGTTTGATTGGGCCACACATTATGTAACACCTCGAAATTTTAGTTTCCCACCTAGGAAAGTATATATCTAGCTATGTATGTCCGCCCGTCCGTCCGTCAGTCCATGTTAATTTGTACTCATTTTACAGGTTGCAATTATGGCCCGAAATTTAGAATGGAGGTGGGGCTAGGGCCAGAATAGAAGCATATTTCTTGTGAAGATGATCTCATAATGATCAAAAATTGAAAAAAATTTCTGATTTTGCAGTTGCTTTACAGATTGCAATTATAGACTAATCGCATGTGGCTAGAGCTTAGGCCTGGGTAGAAGCCTTCCAATTTTGATGGTCATCGGGTAATATATGGTGGGTGGAAAAAAACATATCATTTGTGTTAAATAAAAGTCAAATTTGCTATTAAAACGCGAATATTTTTAATCCCGGCGAAATCGCAAATAGACGAACAGATCAATTGTGACCATTACGTAGATGCCGATAGTAAATATATCGGATATATATAGCGAAATATATACAATGTATATTTGTTAAATGCTTATATCTCAAGATTGGCTGGACCGGTTTTGATAAATTTTGTCAATTCAGAATGCTCTCTTGGCATAAAAAATAAAATCTAAAAAAATCGCATAAAAAGATGACAATAATGACGTAAACATAGATTTTGTCGTATTTTGTGGCATTTTTTATATTTTCATATTTTTTATCTCATGCTATTTTTTTAATTTGACTGTATATATTTTGACTGTGTATATTTTGTAATAATTTTTCATTTGCACATAAGGGCGTTTCTAATATATTGTAGTATTGTAGGGTATCACATGGTCGGTCCCACACGGCTATAGCTTTTGCTTACTTGTTTTACACTGAAATTGTGGGTTTTTTTAAGTGCATTTACTGGTTACTATTATTTGTAAATATAAACCATACTTATTGGTCGGTTATGGTTTTTATAAACGATTACAAGTAGTCATATCGACTGGTACTTTCGAAATTTTTTTTTTGCTTATTGCCAAGGGTGCAATATGTCGAACTCAAGGACAGTTTTGTTTGTTTGTTTTACAAATCAGCAAATTTTTAACGAAAGTGATCGATTCATTCAATGTTTTCTGTAATAAGCATTTTTTTGTTACACTTTTATCGCAAGTTTTATGTTAAAAGTCCTTAGCTTGAGTATCTTATGGCTGGTACGTGTTTTGACGCCAGATAACATTGCTATATTGGATCAATTCATTTTTCAGTGAAATTTTCTATTTAAGTTGAATAGGGTCTGGTACAACGATTTGTTAAACGCCCAGTGTGACGCCAAGCGGGCAGGATATTTTAGAGCGGATTATTATTTTTCTTTTTTTTTTTTGGCTTAGAAAAACTTAAGGATGACAACAGCTGGTTCAAAAGGTATGTTCACAAAAATCTTTTTTTTATTTAATAATTGCTCAAAAAAGGTTCCATAATAAATACAATGTGATTTACTCCCGAGGACCCCTAATTGGTCAGAGACATGTCCAAGCAGTCTTGCTATTTTTTGGAATTGCCATAAATTACATGACCAAATACAGTGCCAGCATATCATTGGTGGCCATGACGAATGCTTTAACCACAAATCCGAATTTTCCGGTAGGTCAAGCAAAACAGATCATTTTTTTTTTAAGAAAATAACTGAAATACATTTTAAAATTGTTTTTTTTTTTTTTTTTTTTTTTTTTTTTTAGCAATACGATTGGAGTGAAACGGAAAAATCGTATATATTATCCAGTTTCTTTTGGGGTTATGTTGTTACCCAACTTCCAGCGGGTTATGTGTGTAAACGCTATGGCGCCAAAGCAACATTGTTGGCTGCAACACTTGGCTCTTCATTGGTGGGCCTAGTTCTACCCTTCACCTTGAAATGGGGCGATTGGCAAATATTTTGTGCCGTTCGAGTTTTGCAAGGTCTGCTGCAGGGCTTTGATTTGGCCGCAGCCTATGCACATTTGGCCAATTGGTGCCCGGTGAAAGAACGTAATCGTTTGGGTGCCTTGGCCAATTCGGGTATTGAATGTGGCACTCTATTGGGTATGTTAGTAAGTGGCATCATTGCAACTTCCAGCCTAGGCTGGCCGGGAATTTCTTATATAGCATGTGCAGCTGGCATAATTTGGTGCGGGTTATGGGAGATTCTCGGTTCCAGTACACCCAATACCTCTAAATTGATAACTCCTGAAGAGAGGCTGTACATTCTGACTTCATTGGAGAAAAAAGCTTCGGAAGACAGTGAAGCCACTCGGAAATCAATACCCATACCATGGAAGGCTATTTTAACCTCCCCACCTGTTTGGGCCCTGCTGGTGGCTCGCAGTTCCGAGGCCTGGTGTTTTTCGGCAATACAAGCTGCCATACCAAACTACATGAACGGAGTGTTTGCCATGGATATGAAAAGTAATACTTTCTATTCCGCCTTACCCTTCATAGTGTTGTGGATAATGTCCTATGTATATTTGGTGCTGGCTGATGTGCTCTTGAATTACAAGGTGCTGACTTTGAATGGTCTGAGAAAAACATACAACTCCATTTCATTTTGGATACCGGCAGCATGCCTTTTTGGTTTGGGCTTATTGGAGGTACAACAACAGGTTTTGGCTGCCATTTTGCTGATAGTGATTGTGGCCACCAATGCTGGCAATATGATTGGCAGTGGCCTAAATGTCATCGACCTATCTCCAAATCACACCGGTATTGTGATGAGTCTTATAAATGCCACGGCAACCATAATGCCAATTCTAACGCCCATAGTGGCGAGTGCCATTGTCGAGGATAATGTAAGTTCAGTACTGAGAAGTTTGATTAAAAAACACTTAATTGTTGTTCTGCAGTCCAATTACAGACAATGGCAAATCTTGTTTGCCATCTGTGGCAGTGTTTACACTGTGGGTAATATAATCTATCTGATTTCGGGATCCACCGATCCTCAGCCATGGAATGATCCAGATTTTCTTTTGCATAGAAGTCAAAATGATTATGAACCGAGTTTGGACGATCAGCCGTCAGGGAGTAAAGTTGCAATTGAAATTAATAAAATTGGAGATTGAACCCTCAACAAGTGGTCATGGGTTAAAATTGTTCCTTTGTGTTTTTATTTTTTATAAATATTACACCATTTAACTGTTGACATTTATAGTCTTGAAACGTTGTGATTAAAAATTCTTGAAAAATAATCTTTTTTTAATCGCATTAGGTAAATATCGTCTAATACTTAGAATTCAAAATCGGCAAAACAAATTTCGTACAAAATTTCGAACTAACTTTAGGTTTCAGGTTCAAAAATTTTAAAAATTGTTGGTCAAGAGTAAATTTTAAATTTTGTGTACAAATTAAAAATTTTCCATCAAAAGGACAGAAATTCCGAGAAATTCTTGATTAAGACTGACATTATAATTCTTCAAATAATTATACTTAAAACAAGTAAGGAAAGCTCAAAAGTCGGGCGGGGCCGACTATATGATACCCTACACCACTATGCATATTTAGTAGAGCTCTCGTAAAAAGGTTTATGCAGGGCATTTCAGAGCTCTATGAGATATTTGGTACAAAATCAAAATCTATCTAATTCTATCGTGCATTTTACGAACTATAGCTACCTCTGAACCGGGTTTCTCCAAATTTTACGTATTAGCTTCTAGACTGGTGATTTGGGCTGATATTGACCATTTAGTGCACATTTAACCCGAAATCGGATGAAGATATATATGGGAGCTATATCCAAATCTGAACCGATTTCGATAAAATTTAGAACAGCTATTCCTGTGCTCCATCTAATACCTGGTACCAAATATCACGGTTGTGGAGTGAATATTACGAATGTATGGGACTAAAACTCTAAATCGGATGAAACATATATATGGTTGCTAAATCTATATCTGAACCGATTTTCACTAAATTTGATATACTTGCTTCTAGGCTGAATTTGGTCCGATGTACTAAAATTCAGTCCATTTGGACTTATATCGGCCATTTGGTGCACAATTAACCCGAAATCGGATGAAGATATATATGGGAGCTATATCCAAATCTGAACCGATTTCGATAAAATTACAAACAGCTATTTCTGGGCTGTATCTTATATCTGGTACCAAATATCATTCTTGTGGAGTGCATATTACGAATGTGAGAGGCTTAAACACCAAATCGGATAAAACATATATATGGGAGCTATAGCTGTATCTGAACCGATTTTCTCCAAATTTGATATACTTGCTTCTAGGCCGAACTCGGTTGGGTGTGCCAAAATTCAGGTAATTTGGACTGATAGTGGACATTTGGTGCACATTTAACCCGAAATCGGATGAAGATATATATGGGAGCTATATCTAAATTTGATCCGATTCTCACCAATTTCAATAGGGTTCGTCCTTGGGCCAAAAAAATATTGTTTGGAAAATTTCATCTGAATCGGATAATAAATGCGACCTGCATTTTGTTCACAAGAATACATGGACAGACGGACGGACAGACGGACTGACATGCATAAATCGACTCAGAAAGTGATTCTATGAAGGTTCTCAAAAGTAACTATGGGTCTATCTCGTTTCCTTCTCCATGTTACAAACAAATGCACAAGGACATAATACCCTTACCACTATGTGGTGTAGGGTATAAAAATACAATTTTTTGGCCAAACCGTTCTTTAAAGGTTTATAGAAATCCTTAATTATACCCTACACCACATAGTGGTAGGGGTATTATGTTATTGTGCATTTGTTTATAACATGGAGAAGGAAGCGAGATAGACCCATAGTTACTTTTGAGGATCTCCATGGAATCACTTTCTGAGTGGATTTATGCATGTCAGTCCGTCCGTCCGTCCGTCTGTCCATGCATTCTTGTGAACAAAATACAGGTCGCATTTATAAACCGATTGAGATGAAATTTTCCAAACTGTATTTGTTTGACCCAAGGACGAACCCTATTGAAATTGGTGATAATCGGATCAGGTTTATCAGTCCGACTGACCTGCTTTTTGGCACATCCGACAGAATTAAGTCAAGAATCAAGCGCAGCAAATTTTGCGAAAATAGGTGCAAATATAGCAATAGGTCCCATATATATGTTTAATCCGATTTGGTGTATAAGTCCCTCACATTCGTAATATGCTATTAGACAACATTGATATTTGGTACCATGTATCTTATTATGCTCCATAATATCTTTGCCAAATTCAATCGAGAACGGGAAAGATTTGGATATAGCTCTCATATAAATTCTTAATCCGATTTCAGGTTTATTTTGCAAATAGTGGCTAATGTCAGCCCAAATGGAGTGAATTTCGGGACGTAGGTTCCCATTTTGTGCAACTCGTCTCCGATGTATATTATACCCTACATCACAAGGTGGTCAGGGTATTCTGTCTTTGTGCATTTGTTTGTAACAAGCAAAAGGAAACGAGATAGACCCATAGTTTCTTTTGATGATCTGCATAGAATCACATTCTGAGTCGATTTATGAATGTCCGTCCGTCCGTCTGTCCATGTATTTTTGTAAACAAAGTACGCATTTATTGCCCAATCCAGATGAAATTTTGCACAAATCATTTGTTTGGCCCAAGGAGAAGAAATTGGAGGAAATTGGAGATAATCGGTCAAAATTTAGATATAGCTACCATATATATCTTCGTCCGATTTGCCTTTTATTGTGCACCAAACGTGTAATAATAGTTGGAATAGTATGGAATTTTGAACGTACGGTCAGATTGGACCTGAAAATAAGTATGCCAAATTTGATCGAAATCAGTTGAGATATAGCTATAGCTCCCATATATACTGTTCATCCGATTTGTTATTTTTGTCCACCGCCGCCGTAATATGCACTCTACAACAACAATATTTGGGAAAATATATCAAATTCAGCTCAGAAATACCTTTGCAAAATTTTATCGAGATCGAGGTTCAGATTTGAATATTGCTCCCATATCTAACTTCGTCCGATTTATCTTTTATTGTGCTCCAAACGTCTAATATTTGTCCAAATGGGATGGAATTTGGCACTTACGACCGAATTGAGTCTAGAAGCTAGTATGTCAAATTTGGTGAAGATCGGTTCAGATATAGCTATAGTTTCCGTATATATTACTCATCCGATTTGTTATATTTGTTACCCACAACCGTAGTATGCTCTCCGTAACAACGATATTCAGGGAAATATATCAAATACAGCTCAGAAGTATCTTTGCCAAATTTTATCGAGATCAGTTCAGATTTGGATATAGCACCCATATATATCTTTATCCGATTTCAAATTAATTGTGCACCAAATGGGCAATACAATTCCGAATTTAAAATATACAAATGCTTTGGCATATTTAGTCCTTGAACTTTAAATTATAATTATAATCATGGCTTGTATGATTGAGTTTCCCCATTAAAACTTTTAATTGTTATGTGGAGCTCTACTAAATTAACAACGTGGTGTAGGGTATCATAAAGTCGGCCCCGCCCGACTTTTAGACTTTCTTTACTGGTTTTTTTGATACAATCCTTCTCTAAGTGATATCATGCACTCGATAGCAAACTATAACTGCTCTAAAGCCAAATGTTGATAGGTGGTATTATCTATCACATAAAATCTTTTGTTGTGGGAACTCTACAAAATATACATAGTGGTATAATATGGTCGGCACCTCCCGACTTCCTGGTTTTAGTTAGAACATTCTTAGCACGACTTTTGACATTTTTTTTTTAAATCAAAATTTCATGGCAGATGGTTTTTCAATTTTTGGTTTGTCAATTTCGAATTTTCAACCAGAAGGTACTTCAAAAATTTTTATAAAATAATATTTTTCATTTTTGTCCAGAAGTTTCTTCACAATTTTTTAATTACGACTTTTTGTACGGGCGTCCTTCAATTTTATGTTCAAAAATACAAGATAATTGATGTATTAAAAAAGTTAATTTTTTATTGTTTCTTTCATAAAATGTCATTTAGTTCAACACAGGTTCAAACGATGTTTTTAAAACAATTGGAAGGGTTTCTTACGAAATGTTCATAAAAATTGACGATTTTTAGCCAAAAAGGTACTCCAATATATTTTCTTAAAACATCGTTTATATTTGGTCGGAGAATTCTATATATTCTAAATAAATCTACAATATTCTTCATATTTTTTTTAAATATTCAAGATTTTTTGTCATATTGTCATTCACAAAATCCCCGTTTTTCGAGTTTTTCATAAAAAAATCAAAGTTTCCACAAATTAACTTAAAACTTCACCATTTTTCGGCCGCAAAATCCTTCAAACTTTTTTCTTTGAAAAAAATTGTGGTCAATTAAACGAACTTACCCACAATTTTTGGTAAATTGCTTCTTAAAAATCTATGGTAACTACCTACGTTTTGTGATACTTCAAAAATGTTTCCTTATAAATTCACCGTTTTTGATCCTTCAAAAAACCCAATATTTTTTGTTATAAGGCCCGATTTTTGACCAGATTGCCCTTATAAAAAAAGGATTTTTTCTAATCCTTTTATTATACCCTCCACCATGGGTAGGAGGGTATATTAACTTTGTCATTCCGTTTGTAACACCTCTAAATATTCGTCGTAGACCCCATAAAGTATATATATTCATAATCAGCATAAAATTCTAAGACGATTTAGCGATGTCCGTCTGTCTGTCTGTCCGTCTGTCTGTCTGTCTGTCTGTCTGTCCGTCTGTCTGTCTGTCTGTCTGTTGAAATCACGATAGAGCCCACATTATTTGACGTAGACCTTTGAAATTTGGCACAAGTGTGTGTATTGTCCCTAGGATGGTTGGTATTGAAAATGAGATATATCGGTCCACGTTCTGGTATAGTCCCCATATAACGGTACCTCCCGATATTCGGTATTTTGATGATTTATGCCACATTTTTTCACGGATTTATCTGAAAATTGGTATTTGTAGGTCATGACGGGTCCCTGAGCGTGTGGCAAAACATTGCATGTATAGGTCCACGTTTTGGTATAGCCCACATATAACGGTACCTACCGATATTCGGTATTTTGATGATTTATGCCACATTTTTTCACGGATTTGTCTGAAAATTGGTATTTGTAGGTCACAACGGGTCCCTGAGCGTGTAGCAAAACATTGCATGTATAGGTCCACGTTCTGGTATAGTCCCCATA